TTCATATTTAACTATCATCAGGGATATACACCGTAAATGTATGTACAATTGCTGTTATATTTGAGAAACCTTTCTGTATCTTATTTTCAATAAATTGTGGAGTTCATATTACAATTTCTAGAGACATCTTTTTTAACAAAGAAGGATCATAATAACTTCTTGGGAGGTATTTTCTCTATGGAAATTTTCGCGCAGCTTGACAATGTTCCTTCACTTCTTAAACTTGATTTTACATTCAGCATGTTAATTAGCCACAGAAACCCTTTTATGAAAATTTGAACCATAAAGAATTTTGTAATTTGTTACTTTGAAATACTTTGTATGCATAAGCTCTGCTTATAATTGTCTTCTCCCTAATTTTTTATCCGTAGCCTTTTTAAGTGATTCATATTTTCACAGTCGTCCGTGTGGCACAGTGATAAGAGCGTCTGCTCTAGCTCTCGTAGCGAGGTAAGTAGATGATTCTTACGTCGCAAGGTTCGAATCCCATTGTGGAGACCGGTCCTACGGATGAGACCGTATAAACCGAGATCCCGTGTCGAAGTAGATGCTGGCACGAAAAAATATCCCTTCCTGTTAAATGGCCCTGAGTTCCGAGTATAGAACAACATTTTCGGCTCTCAAGCGGCTAGTGGGGGTGTCTCGGTATAAGTGAAAATTCTCGAGAGGGACATTAAACAACATCAATCAATCATTTTTCAACATATACACGATTTGATCAGTAAGAATCTCCAATGAAGAAAAAATCACGTAATGATTTGCAACATTATTCTAGCTTTCATTATCTCATTGAAGGTTACAAATTCTTAAAGAACTGTAGAGGTATTTTTCCCGCGTGGAATTAAATTACGCGCTTTGTACACGGTCATAATTTCTAGTCAAAAATGTGTCATGGCATAATTAAAGATCATTAAAGTCCAAGAAGTCCCTGTTTTTTTACTCGATGATTAAACATATTTTTTATTCAGCAGGTTAATGACCCCATAGAATAAGTACTTTTACAGTAAACTATTTCTGTGAATTATCATCTCTGAAATTTCATTAATTTTCAATGGCCCCAGGCTACGTTTTGTATGTAAATTTCAGATATGAATGTATGCTTTGATTTTATTCTAAATAGAAAAATGCAATAAGTGAATTGAATTTTATTACTTGATATGGATATTTTTAAAAAAAAAAAAACTCAAAATAAATATTTATTTTATTACTACATATTTTTAAATTTATTTATTAACCTGTCACTCTATCTTAAATGAATAGAATTTTTTTGACAATGAATTTAATGTGCATCAATTTCCACAAAACATGTACCAAATTTTAAAAATCATCTGTAATTCATTCAAATATTTTTATTTCTCTGTTGATTACAATAACAAATCAAATGTGTGCAATGTAAGCTTCAATCAACTTAATGGCCATATTAAAAAAAGTTCCATTAAGAACTATAAAAAGACTCTTGTATTATTTTGTTTAATCGATGGTTTGAATAAGATAAGATACAACGAAGGTACTAGTTGCGCCCCGTTATTAGAGACCTATTTTTATATTCATATGAAGCAGAATTTGTCCAACATCTTATACGTACGTGAAAATAAGATTCTTGCTGTCCGCTTCAACTCGACATTTCGATATATCAACGACGTATAATCAATTAACAATGGTCATTTCCATTCCTATGTCGATTCGATATATTCCGGTGAGCTTGAGATAAAAGATACATACAACTTATCAATGAGTCAAATACTGACCGACGTTTTTCATACGAATTGTTAGTCCATCATTTATACACTATATTGACGACGGATTTTTCCCCGACCATGACAAAGAGCACACGGCGATTGTGACCGGTCAGCAGGGGATGCTCACTCCTCAATGGCACCTGATCCCACACCTGATGTTTCGGAGGTCCGTGTTTGCTCTGCTTCTATTTTGTATTCTTTAATTGACTTAGGAGCTTGTACACTGTCCGATATCTCCATATATTCCATTATATACCAAAATTATACCAATTCTTTTGGCAAAACATTTGGCAAAATATTTGGCATTAAGAATGAAAATGACTTTCAAAACAGTTTCAGAAATTTATACCTCTTGTCAACCCAAGCACTTACATCTTTTGGAATTATAATTTAGATCTTTACTTAACATCTTTATCTTAAACATCTACAAAAGTTAAGGTCATTTATATATCAATATACAGTACATTTCCAGATAATTGAAGTGAAAATACCCGTGTCATTCTGAAATTAACGATACACAATCTAAATTGTATGAAGCAGTCAAAAACCGTTTCTACGATAAACAAAATGCAGCAAAAAATTGTATGACAACTCTTAAAAGTTGGAATATAATATTGCTGTATATTTCAGTGATAGGAAAGACAAATCAAATTACTTGTACAAAAACGTATTTCAAGATTTTTTGTTGGATAAGGTTATACATGAACTGAATTTAGTTCTAAACCTGTTTTTTCACTTGTTATTTCTATTGATCCATGAAAAAGCAATGCAAACAGCTGCAAAATATTGAAAGAATGTGTTTTTTATTCATTTTTTAAATTTTATTTTCATGTAACAGTTCTACAACTCTACAACACCTCTTACGTTATTTTCTTGCAGAAAAGAAGGCTTTCACACGTTATCCAGAGGACGCTCTCTTCTGATGTCTTTCTTCTAGAACTAAGCTGATGTTCTCTGATTAAACCTTTCATCATGTCAACAAATTCGCAAAGCCGTCTTCTGCGTCGCTTCTTCTTCTTCTTCTTCTTCTTCTTCTTCTTCAAGTGCTTATTGGCGATTGGTATCTTCCATCCATATAATTTCATCTTCAGTTCAAGTTGATGAGATCGAATGACATGGATAAAAAAGAATAAATAATATAAGTAATCTTAAAAACAATTATTTAACCTTTAAAAAATATTTACCTTGTTATCTGTGTGTAGAGGACTTTATATATTGTATAATTATTATGTGTTTAATTGAAAAATGTTTGTAGTTAGATATAAGATATTTTTCCAGTTTGAATTCTGCTTTGTTTTCTCTGAGATTGTGAATAAAGCACATTTGAGTTATGTCAGTCGTGAAATTAGTTAGAGTTTATTTTTGATAGGTATATTTTAGGTAAGTGTTCATATGCAATGGCTCGAAAATTGGGAGTAAGTATGAAATTTACATGTGTACTGAGCTTCAGTAAGGACATTTATGTATCTCAACACTAGATTTTAAAAAAAATGTAATAATTATTGCTGAATGGACTACTTACTAAAAATTGTAACTAACTTTTCACGACATTACTAAACTAAGCAGCATGGCTATTCATTTGGCTTAAATTATGAGACTGATCAAATATTCACAGATAATTTATTTTTTTATAATTATTATTTGTTTTATGAATTAACAGGGTTTTTTTCTTCTTACTCTTTTATAGGTATACATTATTAGAAAATAATAATTATAAGAATCATCATATTCTCCATAATAATATGATACAATTCTATAAAATATTTAATGAGAAAGATATTTTTTTCTTTTCGTAACAAAATGTTTCATAAAAATTTACATTTATTAATTGTTTGTCGTAGGATTCCTCCTTGATATTTCTTTTGGCAATCAAAGAGATACATATAAATTTTTTTGATACCAAATAAACAGCTCTCAATGAAAAGCCTCTTCTTATCATCAACCATTTGAAATGGTAGGTAAATCAATTAAAGACTTTGCTGTGTATTAGAGGTTTTGACTCTACTCCTTGGGATTAGTTTTAAATTCATTGTTCACCTGTTCATATTTCATTATTAGTACCTTCAATTCTTTAACCAAAACACAGTCAGTAGAGTGTGAAAAGATTCAGTCAATGCATGCATTTCTTAACTGAACACTGTAAATATTTGTTTTTTCGTCAGCAGAATAAGAATTTAAGAAAACGTTCATAAATTTCAGGAAATACATGAAATTCCTGATTGCGCATGGTTACTGTAACAAATGCATTACCCTCTTCTTTTTGTTATATTTTTGTTTGTTGCTATTGTCGTCGTTGTTGTCTCTAGCATTTTCTTTCGTTTTTTTATTTCTTTTTTATGGTTTTTCGTCTTGCTTTTTCTTCCTTGCCTTTTCCTAGTTTACACGTACACTTAAGGAACTCTAAACAATGTTCACCAAAGAGCTCTATTTGTAGATTAGTTTTATACCATTAGACTGCTCTGTCCTTAGAAATAGGATTGAAGTGTTACTCCTGTTTTTGTTGTTGTTGTTCTTTTTTACGGTAAGTACGGTAGTCATTCTTCTTATGGCGATATTGGCACACCTTACATATATCTATTTTTTAAAGTGTCTGGAAAAGCTGACTACACAGGGTATTTCCTCTAAGGGTATGACAAATTTAATTTATTATATCAAATAGTATTGAAAATTAAGAAATTCATTTAAATATTAGGTTTTATCAAGCTTAAAAAATTAATTATTGATTTAAAGTATTCTTGCACTTAAGAAAATTACTTTCGGTTTTGGATTGCCTTGTATATGAAAAGTAAGATGTTATCATTCTATATCTATTTTTAGCAAATTTCGTTTTTAGTAAATTAATGTATATGAAATGCAATAAAACTTTAAAGCATATAGAAATTACTTGGTGATTAATGTATTGTGACCAAAAAGAAGCGAGAGAAAGAGGGAGATAAGGGTAAAACCATACGTACATGTACAATATTTAAGCACAAGTATAGGTATAAAGTACTTTCATTTTAAAATTCATGTTTTTAAATCTGTCAATTTTTCTTCATTATTGTAATCTATGCTTTTAGAAATATCTGGTAACCAAAATATTATAATTATAAATATTGGGTTTGATTATTTTCCGCTAATCATTTGTGCATATTTTTTATAGATAACCCGTGCAATATCAAATCCTCTTGTCAAAATATGGCAGGTGATTTGTGTAATAGCATTTCGCCTTCAATGCCTTCTTATTTGCGCATACTGTCGGAGCAGTGACCAAAGCGAAAA